GCTACTTTTATTCACAGAACAAGCAAGCAAAGTGGAGGGGGGGAAATATCTGTCTGGCAGGTTTTAGTCTACATATTACTTTTTTATCCGGTTTTACAGGCAAGCCAGTGAGCTCTGATTCTAGCTGTTACAAGGCATTTATGATCTCAGAACAGGATTTCAGAAAGATCCTAAGGAAGTTAGATGCTATTCACTTTGATACAAGTCTGCTAAAACATCAGTGAATCCTGTTGAAGGGTATAAAAATACATCAGAAGTAAGAAACAAAGTACAAGGGAGGATGAAAGTCCATGTTTCCAAGAGAGGATAATGGGAGAGGAGAGAAACAGACAAAAATGACTGTGGGGAGGGTTGTAATCCCTCCTCCTTTTTTTCACAGTTTATGTGTCTTGAGAACCTCCACCTGCTTCTCAGCATCTTGTGAGCACTTGCCCATCTGTCAGCATCTCTCTCTTCTGGTTGCCTCATTATAGCCAGAGAGCCTAGCCTGCAGTTTATTGACAAGAGGGAAATAGGAAGAAAAGAGACTTGAAACGCAAGAAGTTCTAGGAAAATGGGAGACCTAGATACTCATAGATCTTGAATACCAGAAAAGTCTTAACAGGTCATTTAGCCTGACCTTCTGCACAGCAAAGGATGTAGAAGTATACGCTGCTTCCCATGCAGCTGAGCTTCAGAACTTGTGCTTAACTAAAACATATTTACCAGAAGTGCTTTGATCATCTTTGTGGCTCTTCTCTGGACCCTCTTCAGCCTGTCCACGTCTTTTTTGTATAGTGGGGACCAGAATTGAACACCTCTCCAGATGTGGCCTGACAAGTGCTGAATGCAGTGGGATAATGACAATAGCTGCTAGGGATGCCCTTGTTGATGTTCCCCAGCACCCTGCTGGCTTTCTTTGCCACAGCTGCACGCTGTTTGCTCATAGTAAGCTTGTTGTCTGCCAGTACCCCAGGTCCCTTTCCACAGAGCTGCTCCCCAGCCAGGTAGACTCTAACCTGTCCTGCACTCCTGGATTATGTGCAAGACCTTATACTTGTCCTTGGTGAACTTTGTAAGGTTCTTGTTAGTCCCCTCTTTCAGCCTCTCCAAGTCTTTCTGCAGGGTGGCTCAGTAATGTCCCTGCCTTTTTATGGGCAAATGGCTCCTAGATTTTCGGATGGTGGGATCTGAATAGCGCTAAAACCAGGAGCACAGAGCAAAGAGCAGGAAGCGCGTTTTGTTTGCAAGATTGCACTTCTGTGTTCTGAACAGGTGGCTGACAGTGACCTGAGACCTTAGAAAATTGAATCAATGAAAGAAACAAGTTCAGATTTAATTATCTGTAACTGCATAAGGCACAGAAAGGGTAAAACTAAGCCACAAACCGCAGTTTATTGAGTGAATGTATATGGCAGGAGCACATTAAAAACTCATCATTTGTTCAGTTTTATGAAGTTTCCATCACAAAACAGTTGTACTGACTGAATAAATTAAAACCCACCTTTTTATTATTATTTCCTCATGAAGCAATTTCCGATATTCGTTCAATGTCTGATCTTCATTCTCATTTCTTACAACAACTGGTTTGAGTTCTCTGCTCTTCGGTAGAATAGAAAGTAAAATGATCATTGGGAAAACCTCATTTCGTGAGCTACAAAGTGACCAGCAGGAATCTCTGGGACCTGTGCAACTCATTTTCTGCATGTTTCTGGAAAAGACCCTGCTCTGGTTCGGTTGGTGGCTGTGAATAGTCACGTGTGCACATGTATGGTAGATACCTTTTGATCATCCCCTTCTGACAGAGTAATAACACCACTGACATGTCAGCCAAGGATGTGTTTGAGTCAAAGGTGCCACATCATGCAAGGATTGTGTGTGTAGGCATAGGGAGATTGAAAAGTAAACCACACTTGGGAAAGAAACCCTAAATAATTGTTGTTCTACATAACTATTTATGCTGAACTTCTAAACAAATCTGATATTGTAATGGATTTGTCTGAGATGGAGTTAACTTTTTCCACAGCAGCCTGTCCAATGCTGAGTTTTGGATTTGTGCCTAAACCAGTGTTGATACCACACTTGTGTTCTGGCTGTTGCTGAGCAGTGCTGGCACAGCATCAAACCTTTCTCTCTTTCTCACATCTCCCCCAGTCATTTGGCTTAAGGTAGCAAAGAAGTTGTAAAGGGGCACAGCCAGGACAGTTGACCAAAGGCCAAAGGGATGCTCCATCCTATACAGCACCACGTTCAGCAGTAAGCTGGGATAGAGGGAAAAGTAGGAGTGGGGGTAGTGCTGTGTGCTCAAAGCTGTGTCCAGCCTGACCTTGACCACTTCATTCCCCGAGTCCATGCCCTGAGATTGAGGAACTCGGAGATGTGTGAAGAGCAATTGCCAGTGAAAACTGAGACAAAAGAAGCTGCTGAGTACCTCAGTCTTCTCTGTGTCAGTTGTCACTAGATCGCCTGTCGCATTTATTGCAGGGTACAATTTCTTTTGTCTTCCTTTTCTGACTAGTGTTATCACATAGAATCATAGAATAGTTAGGGTTGGAAGGGACCGGAAGATCATCTAGTTCTAAGCCTCCTTCCCTGGGCAGGGATGCCTCGTTTCTGTTAGGATACAAGTGCCAGTCATTTCACGTAGAGATGCCCCTCGTTTGAGAATATGCTTAATATGTAGACTCAAAAATTAATTGCAGTGGAAATGAAGAATAAAAATCAGAGCCAGCAACATAACTGTCATGCAAGACATGCTGTCATGCAGCCTCTGCCTATCTGCAGAGCTCTTTTTGCTGACATATTTCATGTGGTTTTCAGTCCATCCGTCTAGCAAATAGACTCCCCTTTGGTTTATGAGAGTCCTGTTTTTAGGTTGCTTAGGGAAGGATCAGCACAGTCCATAGATCCTATACTTCTCTAACTTTCAGCATGTCAGCAGGTATATACACTGAAAATGACCTTTGAGATTTTTCTGGAATGCTTTTCTTTCCCCAAGTATAAATTGAAATATAAAAATATACTATGAATTTATACAAATGGTACTCATGTCAAAGTGAATAATATTCTCTACTAAGTACATACTTCATTGTAAGTCTTTCAGGCTGTGATACAGATCTCAGTTTAAAGCCATGTGTAAAGTTAGACTATGCAGGAACAGAACTTCTACTGGAAATATCTCTACTGTCAAGCCTCTACTCCTTTCTCTTTTAAAATAAGGGTAAAAAAATTAGAGATGCTTCCATCCAGAAGACCAAAAACTTGCAAAGAACCATTCTTGCAGGGGGTTTCAAAATCCTGAATGGGATTGTACGCAAAGTACCCATGAGCAGTATGAACAGTGTCGTCAGTTGCCTCAGAATAAGGTGAAAAGTCTACTAAGTAGTTCTTATAGAGAGAGACTGCTTTTGGGAAGCAGTTCAAGCCTGACAGTGAAGAGATCTGCAGCAGTTCTTCAAGGCATAAAGTTAAAGGAGAATTACACAATAAATAAACCTGGACACAGCATACAGCAAAAATACTGGTGAGATTTTACTCAAATTCCTAATTGCCCGAGTTTATTGGCAGAACCACTGAAGTTAGAAGACATAATAACATTAAAATGAAACATCTTTATTTCTTTAATGGCAAGCTTTGGCTCTTACAGTTTTCGTCTTATAAAGTGCAAAAGGCCAAACAGACTAAACTCATGGCTTATGAAAGGCCATGCATTCAAGAAATGAAGTAATTTTATTCGTCAGAGAACAAGAGAACACAACAGCAATAAAATATGCTTTTAATTTTTTCTTCTAGAAATAGCCAATCTGCAGAAAAAAAAAGAACAAAGATGTCAACTGTGTAATAAATGTGTTTTGAAAGAACATTCTCTATAAAAAGTTTATTCCTGTCCTTCCAGTTTTCATAACAATGCATTTCATTCCATCAGACATAACCTTGTGAAAATCTATTAGGCAGGAATATTTTCCACTGTTAGTATTGTTAGTAATAATAATAATAATCACAGAGTGGGGCTTCTACCACAGCTTGATAGCCTTGCTGAGTAAGATAATACTGTTTCATTAATTCATTTGAACAAGAAACCACACCTGTACTGGGACATTGAGGTCATAATCGGGCACCTGAGATTTTTCAGAAGAACTGAGAGAGCACAGTGGCTTTTTTATTTTGTATGAAAGAAAACCACATTAGATGGAACTCTTGATTGTCTTCTATCTGGTATCCTCCTTTCTGAATGTTATCGTTGATAATCTGCTTCAGATAAACCCTTCCAGCTGACTTTTAGCTACCATAATAAAATTTACAGCCCCAAATTACACAAACTAAGTCATATATATGTTATTATTCACAACCCCTGTTTAATAATAAGTATCGATTATAGGGTTTGCTGAGGATGACCTGGAGGAATGTCCAGGAGATCCTACTGTACATTTGTAAAACTTCCAAACAGGTTTTGAATCATCCACTATAAATAGAGCACTGTAATGCTTGCTAAGAATCCACTTCTTTTTCAGCCATAAAATCTCACAGAGGTCATTACCACTGCATTATTAGTTCATTGTAAAAATTAATTGCCCGTGGACAGAAACAAAAATGTAGATAACTTCTGCACCACTATGTATCAAAATGCATATTACCCTAAAAAAACCCTATGGAAACTGGAAAGCTGCAGAGATCAAATATTAATGTCATTGTTGATGTTTTCTTCTGAAAGCTGGTGAACGGGTTTTTTCAGTATTATCAAAATTATAGATGGAAATAAAAAATCTTCTTCTGGGATATAATTTATTCTGGTTAAATTTTACAAGTCAAATCGATCTGATTTTCATCATATGCTATGGAAACTTTTCACAACAGCTTCTTTGGAAATACGTTAACTCCTACTCAACTCAGAAATGCTCTTCTAAATCCTGAAAGGTGCCGAGTGGTGCCTATTTCTAGTAAATATGACTCCTTTCTTTTTTGGAAGTATAGGTGAATTTGTGTACAGTGTACGATGGGTTCCTTTTTGCTTGGTGTTTCAGCTGCTACGGAGGTTTCCTTTTCATTTGATGTTGGAAATGGGCCTGTGGAAATCATCGTTAGATCTCCCAACCAGCTCAATGATGATCAGTGGCATCGTGTCAATGCTGAGAGGAACGTCAAGCAAGCCAGCCTGCAAGTAGACCAGTTACCCATGGAGGTCCGGAAAGCACCAACAGAAGGCCACACGCGGCTGGAATTGTACAGCCAGCTCTATGTTGGTAAGATGCAGTGCGGGTAATGGGGCTTTGCTTTCCCATGCTGAACACTCTGTGCCTCCTGTCTTGCCAGCAGCAGTTAGTTTAATGTAGGAAGTTGGCTCCTGAAGCACTTGCATGACAGCATGGGGGAGAAAGAGGAAAAAAAAGACAAGCATATCCATAATTACAGGAATAAGATCAACTAAGAGGAAAATATCTTGTGCTGGCAGCTTGTCGCTTTTGTCTCTCCCCACCTGCTGGTTCTGGCTGAAAGTGCACCTAGCAGGCTGTAGTGCCTAACTCCCTTTTTGTCAAGTGCCTCTCTCTCACACACACTACAGAAGTGAAAAAATTGTGAGTAGGTCTTGCCAGGACTGCATATGCCTGCAGTGCCCATCCTAACCTCAGCAGCACTTTAAGCCTCTTTAGGTTTGATCATTGCCCACACTTTTGTGCTCAGAGATCTCACTGCAGTCCTTTCCTCTAGTCCCATGGGCTGTTTGCCCATTTGATGCAGGAAAGCATCACACAGTGTTACACAAATACATTCCTTGGAACCAAGTTAGTCCAGCTGCTTGTTGGAGCTACTGGTCTCTGCTACGTTTTCGGCAGGCTATTCCAGTAGCACTTGTATTTCTCCGACTGTTAACATCCATGCTGCAAAGTGCAGACATGCCAAGTGCTAGTAGCTAGGATCAGAACTGCGTGAAATGTTGAGCAAAGAAGGTCTTTCCTACCTCTCTAGATACCCGTAAACAGAAGGAGAGGGAAGGGGGAAGGAAAATGACATCTCATTTTTTTTCCCCATGATAATAAAGAGTTCAATGGCAGAAATTGAAATTATATTTAAAGCCTTCACTGCCTTGGTGAACAGCAGAGTGTCACTGCAGACTGTGACTGTGTGTCACCAGGCATGCAGTCAGTATTTACAAGCTCAGATTCTCCTTTACTGCTGACTGTGATCTCAGTAGAAGGCAGTTTCAAAACAAGCTGAAATGTGAAGTTTGTTTAAAAGAGTGGTTAAAAGATGGAGCCTTAACCTTTTGAAAGAAATACCTAGCCTTTTGCTGAAAACAGGAAGAGCTGGGGTTTTCCAGCCTGAGTTCTTGGGGAGCTGTTAGTAATGCTGATTTTTATTTGTAGCTTTGAACTAACTGTGTGTTTTGAAATACCTAGTACCTTTATTGCTGAAAACTGAATGCCCAAATCTGCAACAGATTTTCCTTCTGAATCATATCCATAACTTGGTGATTGGAGCATACATCTCAAAGAACAGATTTATAGCCTTACTCAGAGTCAGATAGAGAATTGATTTGAGTTGGTGGGTCCCAAATGAATACCCTGAACATCGGGGTCTGGAGAGTAATACTGAAAAAGAATTGTTTCAGTGCCTCCTGTTTCACTTGCTGCAGAATAAATATCTATTTGTTGGCCAGCAAGAGAGCTTGAGGGATGATGACTGTATGTCCTGACAACTAGGAGAAAGAAGGGAATTAGATGCATTAGGTTTTCCTTCATTACAGCACTGTATATGAGTTTACATAGATTGGAACCACACCAGAATGCCCTCTGCCCTGTTCACTCAGCGCAGATCAAGCATTGCCTCCTCTCGCTTCACATCGTCCAGTTACTAGCAATTGATCTGAAACAGCCAACATTCCTTGGTTTGTATTTAGTCCTCGTCCCCACTCAGGTATGTGTGCTTTGTGGTGATGAGCACTCAGATCTCCTCAGGTACTCTTAAGCACCTGCGGCACTGCAGTAATCAAAGAGACGAGAGGATGAGGAGCAAGGATGACAGCGACTCACTGTTATTTACTTGATTTTTTTAGGGGGTTGTTGTTTCTAATCCAGCCCCAGATAAGGCTTCCGTAGCTGTAAGTTGTTCAGCAAGTGCTTACAAGAGGGGGGAAAGGAACAGTTCTTATCGACTGCTGAGAAAAGCTATCTTGATGCAGGTTTTCAAATGTAGCTCTTCAGTGTTGCATCCTTCACTCTGTGCTCTGGCAACTAAACAATTTTCCTGATGTTGCTTGGAATTTAACATCTGTGTTTCCTATTGCAGCTGAGTAGAGATATTTATATATTTTCCTTCTTTCCCCATCATGGCTTTGAAAAATTAACACTGCGGAACATACTATGGCATTATGAGCGTCCATCATCACTAATCATATGGAGAGTAAGGCTATACTGTAGCAGTTGAGGCAGGCCCATTTCTGTAACTGTTCCCTCTAAAAATCTTGGAGTTTAAATGAAATGAAGTCTTAACAGTAGAGGCTAGATTCTCTAATGTCTAATCAGTGTAAAGCAAAAGCACGCCTACTATTTATGCTTATTTATGATATGGTATCAACAGCTTAGGTTTCATTGACTTTATAGTCTGTAGGACAAGGCAGTTCTAGCCTTTACAAAGAAGTTACTTACTTCCAGCTGTTGTCACAAGCTTAGCAGTGTATTTCCTGTAAAGCAGTATAACCTGTTCAGTGTTGTCTCACAGTTCTACATTCCCTCTCAGGTGCTGCGGGAGGGCAGCGAGGCTTCCTGGGTTGCATTCGTTCTTTAAGGATGAACGGAGTGACACTGGACCTGGAAGAGAGGGCGAAAGTCACGCCAGGGGTGAAGCCCGGCTGCTCTGGCCACTGCACGAGCTATGGGATGTACTGTGCCAACGGTGGGAAGTGTGTTGAGAAATACAACGGGTACTCCTGTGACTGCTCCAGAACTGCCTATGATGGACCATTTTGCATTAAAGGTAAATGCTTTAGCGCAGGAGGCAGAATATGGGAGAACTATTTGCCTGAGAAAAAACACCATATAATCAGTGCTTCATCTATTAATTAAACAACTAAGTCCTGATAATGCTTAATAGTTCTTACAGACAAGTCAAATTATACACGCAGGATTTAAATGTGATGATTTAAAACCACATTTCTCATTAGTACTAATATATGTTACCTCTTTAAATCAAATAACAACAACATGAATCAGGAATGCCTTTAGTCATAGCAGGTCTGTCTGAATGCGTTCTGTAGTCTTGAGTTGTTGTATAATAGATTCCAGCTTGCAAAATGCCATGGTTAATTCTTTAGAAAAAAAAAATCATGGACTTAAACAAAAGCTATTTAGTCTCGTGCAGAAACATACTTGGAGATACATAGGTGTGAGGTTTGGGTTGAATAGTATATAAACTGTGAAGCTAGCATCTGGATTAAAAGTTTTATCCCTCTATAACCGTTTCAAGTCTTTCAGTAGCTCAGTCTGGGTTAGAGATTGAACTTGCTAGGAAAGGGAAGGTACAGAGCTCTCACATCTATGTCAGTCCTTTGGAAATGCCTGAAGTATGTTCTGAATTTTCAAAACCAGTGATTCTAAAAGACTGATTTGCTATGGACATACGTGCCTACATGAGAAGTGAGGGAAAGATGTCCATTACATATAAAAAAGAAGAGCAGGGATAACGATGTTGAGTTATGTCTGTATGTTTTTTTTCTCACTTTGACCAGTAATGATTGAGACAAATTATTAATGGGAATATAGTTTTCCAAATGTTTGTGCAGTTTGCAGACTTTGTGGCCATTCATTTGCTCCCTTTACATTTCAAGAAGAAAAGAGTTGCTGCCATGCCATATTGAATGAATTCACTTTTTAGTTTTTTTCTGTATTGCTGAAATTCATCACACTGGCTTTTATTCGTGTTTTTCTGTTTCTCTTATGGATAACCCCTGAATTTCTGCCCAAACCAGCTCTAAGCTGAAGTGTCCTGTTTTTTCCTGGGTGTGGCACTAACAGAACAAAAAATACTGGTTTGGAGTAATTGGAGACCTAGCACAGACAAAACCTGTGCTTCACCAATGTGTAAGTACTGTCATAGAAACAGCAGTAATACTTTATTATACTACAGTAGTCTCCTTATCAGCGTCTCAGTCCAGCCAAAGGCCCAGGCCTCTGTCTGTGATGCTTAGGACACAGTAAAACTTGGTGTAAGCTCCTGCTGCTGGGCAGCTCTGGGTCATGCAAAGGTACTCATGCTAGCTTGGGGATCTCTGTACCACACGTGTTGTGCCATTTAAACACGACATCAGATCTCTGCTTTAAATATCAAAACTTATTTCAGGCTAAAAATACCTCAGTATATCCTTAAGGCCCTAGATACGAAATGGAAATTACCGATTTCCTATTTGCTAGTGCTGAAAACTGATGTACTCATCTAGAATATCTGCAAGTATGATTTAGGGTGAGTGACTTCATGGGGCTTCTCTGTAGAAACAACAGAGTGGCACTGGGATAAAGTTAGAGGATAAATTAAACACGGAGTAGATTGGGTTTGAGGCATCCTGTGATCAAAATAATTGTAAAACCTCTGTAACAAACAGTGCTGATAATGAAACTTTAAAACAGTTCATTTTCAGCCCATTAAATTTTACGTTGTAAATTTAACTAGTATTAAGCTTTTTCAATCAAGTAAAGCACTGGAACATGTTACGCATGTTGTCAAACTCCCTAGACATGTGAAAGAAGGGGATCCTACACTTGCTTTCTATAGCTGCTCTTGGAATCTTATACCATGTCCTCTTGATCCATAAGATGAGACTGGATATATTCTCTAGATGCAAAGGCCGAACATAGAGTACTAACAACAGTGAAATAAATACTGGCAAAACAGTAAAACAAAGTGTTACCTAAGTTATTTTTAGTTGATTTTTTTAGTTGATTTGGATGAAAACATCACAATTCTGATATTTCAATTAATTTTTCATTAACACTTCAACACTTTCCCCTCTCTAAAAGAACTGACACATCTGTGAAAATGTTTTTAAAGACCATATTGTCTGTTTTCAACCAATTCCATTCTTCATAGCAAGGACATAGTTGCATACTGCTCTGTCACTTGTGATTTTCTAACTGGCACCACAGTATGCTGTTGGATGCTGTCATGGGGGTGAGTCTAATAGGAGGCAAGCAAGCAGATTTTCCTTTGTTACCTTCACTAGGAATTCACATCAGCTGCTGAGCAATAACAAGGTTAGTGCTTTGCACAACAAACTAGGACTGGGTTTCATTATTTTACTCCTCTGAGCAAATCTTCAGGCCAGGTACCCGTGTTGATTTGATAATCAATAGTGCCTGACTTTTTAAGTCCCCACATCCAAACCAATGTGACATATTACCGTAAAAAAATGCTGTGTAATACCTTTCAGTATCCCGCAGTCTGCTCCTACTGTGGATTTTACTTCGCCACAGGAAGCTTTTCTTATCCAAAAATTTTATTTTGATATTCAGGTTACTTCCTCATGGTAAACTTTTAGGGGTTGGTTACACACCACAAGTGCTAGGAGAAGGAGTGATAGGAAAAATCAAAGGAAAAGCCCCATCATTACCTTAAGGAAATCGCCATACAATGGTTCATAGTGAATAAACATATAATAAAAACAGGCCGTGCATATTGTGGATTCTTTTGCTGATGAAATCCATCCGTAGAGCCTATTGACTGATGACTGATGAGATCCTGCGTTGCCTCCAGCCTTATTATCAGCAGATCAATGTGCTTGATGTGGTAGTGGCCTGGAAATTACACTAGATTTTTATAAGGGAAAAAAAAAAAGTGCAAAAATAGAGTCTGACATCTATTTTACCTTTATTTTTGTTTTGGATTTGGGGCATACGCAATTGACTTCACTTCTTTCAGTGCTCAGAGAAATTGTTCTGAGGAATAGCTGCAGTGTTTCTGCAGTCCTACAGATTGCTTTCTGACCTTTCCCTGTCCTTTGCTTAAGCATAAATCATCTTTTTTTCTCCCTCCCATAGCTGTCCTATCACCGTAAAAGCATTTCTGGGAAAACATTTTTATTTTTCCCCTTTAAAAAAAACAAACTCTTTCCTTCTTTTAAACAAAAAGAGTGAAGGTCAGATGCGGAGATGGCTCTGCAGAGCATGTGGCAGCACTCTAATGTGGGGGATCCCCCAGGGAGAAAGCATTCCTCCTTTGGGTATTGACGTGCTGTGGATCAATGGTAGGAGAAGAAATTGTCCTTTGCCAAGAGAATGTGGCCAAGAAAAAAAGTTAAATAGCTGGTGCTGTGACTCATGTGCCTTCAGGTCTGCTGGAAGGGTAAATTCAAAGCTTCCCAGTTTCTGTGCAGTTACCCAGTTTGCATCAACAAACACCAAAGAGATGAGTGCAGTGTATAAATGTTTTTCTTTCTTTCAAGTCAAGCTCAGATTCACAGTGTGAAATGTTGCAGTCCTTGTGCCAGTGCTCGAACTGAACTCCTTCATGCTTGATTTTAGATTTTCATGAACCCTAAACCCTTACCATTGTCATGGTCCGGTTTCTTTCCTTTCTTGCTCCCTTGCCTGCCTCAAAGAGGAAAACTAGCTTTTTTACTAGGCTGAATGGATGCAAAAAAAGACATACCAGCTCTGGTGCTATAGCACATGGTGAAGCAGCTCTGCACCGTTTCCACAGACTCTTTGATCTTTGATCATCTCCAAATTCTGCCCTGGTTATACCCATTCAATTCTCTTCATTTTGCTGGTTGCAAATACGTTGCATTGCCTTGCTGTAAGTAATGGGGTGGAGGATTGTTCAAGCAATTTAAGGTAACTAACTTCTTAGTTTTCATTGTTCATAATCCCAGTACCTGGAATGTCAAAGGCAACATTCTTTCCCACCCCCCAGAACAATTCTGCTATACACAACATGATTGTGATCTGTTAGCTGAAAGTAATAACAGAAATTTTCCTTGTGTTGGGAATGTTAGGCTCCCAGTCTGTAAGTATGAATGCTGCAGTCACATTTTTCTACCTGTAGATCAAACTCCAGGACTTGGCTCTTAGCCTTCATTGAGTAAATATATATACTCATTAAAAAAAATATATACTCTGTAAAGCTATTCCATTCTGCTGTCCTGTCAATAGTGCCTTATTAAACATGCATGGTTATGCTCTGGTGCTTTGAACATTGCATTCCATTTAAGTTGCAAGAATTTTAAGGCAAAACAACCCTTCTCCATGCTCCTTACGCATCTCAAAGAGATATCAACCTGATTATAAAGAGAGCTTGCCAGCCCACTTACAGCCCATAATACACTACTTATAAATGCAAGGATTTCTTATTCTGTATACGGAAAGGAAGTAAATCAGGGTAATGAGTTAAAAAAAACACTAAGTCCTGGCTCCAAAATGTGATGAACTTTCAGTGTCTTTGTCAGCTAACTACAGGAGGACTCCTCTGGTGTCAGTGCTCCCTGCATGCAGATGTTTTATCAAAGATGAGTAGAGCAGCTTCAGTAGCGTTGCCAGCTGCTGCATGTCTGTGCAAAGGCAACTGAGAGATTTGAGGTTCTCACGCCAGACACCTCTGCAATATTTATATACCTGTGTGCTATTTGTGTAGTATGGGCACCTCACAAGCTGATAAAGTATTTGTCCTTACAATAGCTCTGTGATCTGAGAAGACATTTTTGTTATAGTAATGCAGAAAGTGAATGAGATAATGAGGGAAGCAAGGAACTGCTCACTTTTAGAGTGGATACCTGTGGTATAGGAAGGACTTGAAGCTAGATCTCACCTATCAGAGTTGTCACTCTGAATACTGTGCAATCATCGAAGGGCAGTCTCTGCTATTTCTCAAATGGCTCTTTCAAAGATGCAAGTTTTTCTCTGAGGTTACCTAAAGACCAGCCCCAAAGACACCCTGGCAGGAAATCATGAAACCTGGTCTGTTGTATGTTTGCCATTGTGTTTTTCTTC